TGTTTATGCCTTACTTTCTGATATGCTGTTTGGCTGCAGGAATTCCAGCCATGTCTTCATTCAGCAGAAACTTCTTAGTTCCTAAGCAGTAATTTTTTGTGTATTCTGACCAAGTCAGCTGACGGACATCAAAGCAGAATAACTGGAATCAAATGGAAAGAATAATATCAAAGATGGGTGGGAGGACTATTGCATTCTTGATGTTGCACTGAACATTATATGAAATGACTTCTGAATAATTTCGCTTTGGAGGGAAATTCCAGCTGATCCCCATCCACCAGATCAGGACTGTGGGCCCTGGCCATCCCTGCTTGTTCATATCGTAAGTCAAGTGAAAAATGGTCAGATGGCTACTGAGGAATTCTAGTTGACTGACTATTTTCTTGACCTTCTTTTGGACACTGAATTCTCAGTGAAGGAGAGGCCGTAGATGGCTGTCCATTTCCTCAAGCCAGCATTGCTTGTCCCAAGATCTCATCACCAGTTGCCCAATTCCTGGGGAGCCCACTGCTGTTCAGAGGGGAAACAGTTGTATTTTCATTCTGGAAGAAAATTCAGGGGTACCTTGACACTTTGCCTGTAAAGGGCTAAATTTTGCCCTTTGAAAAGTTTGGGTAGGCTTCTAGGTTGGCTGATCCAAGTAGGGACATTCTGTCTTCCTCTGAGGTCAGTGCTAGCCCCAGATATAGGAAGAATTGAGAGGACAGGGGGTTTCACCAGGAAGCCACAATGAGACCTGCATGCAACCAGCCAGGTGAGTATAACCTCACCTGGGATTCATCCCTCTGTGTGAACACTGGGCTCACCACTTCTTACTCTCAGCTCGGTCCTAAGTGCCAGTGCGGGAGGGAGAAGGGAGAAGAATGGAATGGACATGGAAAATGGTGGCTGCACATTATTCAGATGTTCATCTATTCTCTGGAGACTTTTCTATGGAACATAGTTTCTTTAGGTGAGATTGGGGTGGCAATCGGGCAAGCCGGCTCTTTTTGCAGAAGCAAATGCTAGGCTACTTGCGGGCTCGCTGGCTTCTGTTTTTATCCCCTTCGTGTTCTAGTCTCTGGTGCAGGGTTGTGTCAGAGATCTTGGCTGTTGTAAATCCACACTGTGACTTGAAGGATGAGCTTGTCTGCCTTTGTGCAACTGACCCAGCCTCCTTTGAGGAAGGACCCGCCTCTGCATGGTGGTAGATGCTGCCTCAACCTCCCTCCCTCACTGGTCTACATCAGGAGAGGGGGTGCCCCAGGGGAAGAGCTGCGCCTGAGCCATCACCCTTGGGATGGAGAAATCTGTCAGCAGGACTAATGGGAGAAGCAGAAGCTAGACTGGGTAGTCTGAAATTTGACACCTACTCACCTATCCACTTCTTTATTTCTTTATTGAAGGACCTTTCTATGCTCCCTATTCTCAGGATTCTGGGCCACTTATGATAAGACAATGAAACAATTATATTCATAAAGCCAAACCATTAAAACCAGTATGTACAATTAATAAATAAGAATCAGTGTTGTTAACATCACCCAGATCCAAACCTTTCTGGAGAAGACTGTGTCTCCCAAACTAGGTCATAGTTAGGATTGAGATGGTGATTTCTGGGTTCCCGCAGCCTGGGGCTCCAGAAGCTACCAACAGGTTTGGGAAGAGCATTCCCAGGAAGCCTTAAGAGGAAGGTTCTAGAAGGGACTAGAAAAGGATATGAGAGAGAGGATGGAGCCTCCCCTGGCCTTCCCATCCCACCTGAGGTTTGTGGGAGGGAGGGCTGGACCACCCTGGGAGATTTGCTCCTCTGAAACCTAGGCCCTTGACTGACTATCCTGTTTCAGTTTCAAACTCACACGCACTCAATTGCTAGGTGAAAATAGCAGTGTCCTCAAGGCTGAACATATAATGGCAGACAAGGAATGTAAATCCAGAACAGAGTCTCAGGAAAAGAAAGCTTGCCTGAATGGTTTCACTTTCAAAAGGAGCACACAGAAGAGTAGCCAAAATCTACTCAGAAGTTCAGACAGCCAAGTCAGGTTTGTGAGCCAGTCCAAGGTCAGAGTTTCACAAGCAAGATTCACAAGAACAACATGCCAGAGCAGGAAATCAGATGGTTGTTTCCAACAGAAAAACATGGGTCAAGGCTGCCTCTTAAATCAGGCTGCAGCCAGCTGTCTTTAAGTTACTCTCTTGCTTGGCAAGGAGCCTCATTGAGCATCTTTGCTCTCCTCTCCACTCTACTTGCTGAGTCCATGGTCTTGGAGGCCTTACATCATCATCTGACTGCTCCAGCTGTTCTGATGTGGCCTGTGTTTGATCAGCCTCTGTTGGTTCCTGGCTTGGTGTCTCCTGAGGCTGACATTCCTCTGGTTCAGCTGGAGCAGCTTCTTCAGAGTCAAAGTCTGAGTCCTGGGCCGTGACACTAAGGCATGATCTACTATTGGCTTGGGAGCTCTGTGCCTGGAAGGGAGAGGCCTTCAGGAAGAGCTTTCCAGTTGCAACCCTTCCTTGCATTGTTGCTTTGTTCATTAATGCTGCTGAATGTCACTGAAGTGGTGATTTGGGAGAGCTGAAGGCATCTCACTGGCTTTAAGGAAGAGCTTCCCAGTTACAGGATGACTGCGTGGCTTCCTCAAGAACAAAACTCACAGACCAACCTCACCTCAGTTTTCTTGGATCACTTTCTTAATACTAGAAGGTGTGGTGATAGTACAGACCTAAACTGCCTTGATCTGAGCAAAACACCCTGTGAT